TATCTGTGATGCCACCCTAGGCCTGAAATCACCAAAAGTTTTAAGAGTGGCAAACTGGTGGACGAAAGAGCTCCGTGCACAGCGCAGTCGCACCAGGGCACTTAGGCGTAAGATGAAGAGCGAAAGAGACCCAGACAGGAGGCAAGCCCTTAGTGTTCTTTATAATAAAGAGCAAGCTCAGTACAAAAGGGCAATTGCAGCCGCAAAACTTGCCAGCTGGAGGGAGTTCTGTACTAAGAATGTAGAAGTCTATGGTGCTCTCCACAAGATAGCTTCGAACAAAGTTTACAGACCACCGGAGCTAAGAGCCTTTGCAGGGCAGCAGGCTGGACACATAACAGAAATCACGCTCAGGACAATTCTTGACGCCGTACTTCCGGAAGAGGATATTACAGATCCGTCCGACCACCAGGCTTATACGCTGCACACATCTGTCCCAGATGATATGCCATTTACGGAGAAGGAAGTCTCCGCAACGATCAAAATTCTCCCGAAAAGTAAAGCCCCTGGTCCGGACTCAATAGACTATCCAATCTTGAGAGCAATACATAAAGCAAGATCCGGCTTTCTCACGCGTTATTTTAACAAACTGCTAGCACTGCAAAGCTTTCCGGAACCTTACAAAACGGGGCAGGTTGTGCTCTTTAAGAAAGAAGGGAAGGATCCAAACAGCCCATCCTCGTTTTAGGCCGATTTGTCTTCTCCCGGTAATAGGGAAACTCTATGAGAAGCTCCTAGTCCAGCGGCTTAAATTTCATATGACGCAGAGTGGGGCAATCTCTGACGCACAATATGGATTCAGAGAGCTACGCTCAACGATTGCTGCCCTATCAAAGATAAGAGAACTATATCAGCCACTTGCATGAAAGGAAACAGCATGCAGCGGTCCTAAGTCTGGACCTGCAAAGCGCATTTGACTCTCTGTGGTGGCCCTCAATTTTAGAGGCACTGCACCAGGCAAGGATCCCTGATAACCTCTTGCAGGTTTTCAAGCAATACCTGTCCAATAGAAAGTTCATAGTAACACACACTGGCGGTGTCATAACCAGAAGCCAGACAAAAGGCTGTCCACAGGGATCGTGCGCGGGTCCAGACTTGTGGAATGCAACTTTCGATTCCATCCTACGATACGAATGGCCGTCCCATACCCAGATAGTAGCCTTTGCGGATGACGCGACCTTTGTGGTGGGCGGCAAGAGTAGAGATGAACTGCAGCAAAACTGCAATGATGTAATTGATACCTTCTCTCGGCTATGTCAGGAGAAAAAGCTAATAATTTCTGAGGCAAAATCGAAATATATAATTTATCATAAGCCAGGCCAAACTTTAATAAGAAACCCAACCATCCAGCTTAATGGGAAGACCATCAAAAGGGTCAGAGAACTAAAACTCCTGGGTATTATATTGGATGAAAAGTTCACCTGGCTGCCTCACCTTAAAGCCCAAAGAGAAAAGGCTCGCCGAATCGCAAACAATCTGCAAAAAATGCAAGGCCCGCACTGGGGCCTTCGGCCCAATATCTACAAGATACTTTACTCCACTGTCGCGGAGAGGGTCCTAACCTACGGAGCAGCCATCTGGGCAGCCCCGATGACAGTCAGAAAGGCAAAATTGCTAAGTAGTGCACAGCGACCATTTGTCCTGGCCATAACGAAGACCTACAGGACAACGTCGACTGCGGCCGCTTCGGTATTAGCAGGGCTTATGCCGCTCCCAATCAAAGCGCAGCAAGAAGCCTCAATTGCAAAGGTGACGCAACTCCAACAGCCATGCACATATGGGGATACATGCTATCTGCCAGAAGTCTACGAAACACGCAGGTCCAAACTAAGCACACATCCGTCGGAATATGGACTGGGCATAAGGACTTTCCACTCACCAGCGTTAACCCCGCGCTTAGACGGACCAGGGGCCGTGCTTTATACAGACGGGTCAAAAATTGATAACGCTGTAGGCAGTGCCTATATAGCCTATATAAATGGAAACATAGCAAAGGAATGGAAGGGCCGTCTGGGAGCACAGAACTCAGTGTTCCAAGCGGAAGTAGTTGCCCTCACAAAGGCAGTGAAATGGGCAATTGACACACGGCAGAGTCGAGCTACGATATTTACTGACAGCCTGTCAAGCATTTATGCTATCAACAACCCCTCTCCAGCGCTCCGCACTAATCTCGCACCTGCAAGAAGTCCTCCGTCTACAAGAAGAAAAGTCAATGAGAATCCAAATTTCCTGGGTGAAGGCGCACGCCGGAATCCAGGGAAATGAAGCAGCAGACGCTCTTGCCAAGAAGGCTGCCCAAAATGAGGAAACGGAGCAGATTCAGGTGCCCCTGCCCCGGTCATGCCTAAAGAGGCAAATAGAGGAGTCCGCCATTGGAAACTGGCAGAATGAATGGGACCAAATCCCGCAAGGCCGCAGAGCATATGAGTTCCTGCCCAAGGTAGAGGTGGACCGGCTCATCTCATCGCCCTACCTCACGCGATATATAAAAACAGGCCACGGCCCCTTTCCGACGTACTTTGCAGAAAGGGGTCTAGCAACAACTGATATGTGTGTTTGTGGCAACTTGGGCTCACCAGACCATTATGTCACGGAGTGCCCCTTAACAGCAGAATGGCACATAAAATTCCCAACTACCAATGTTCTGCCTTTCAAACGCCTTCTCATAAAACATCGAGGCACGCGGTAAAAGCTTAATGCATAATGGCCAAACTAGAAAAAATGGGCATAGACCTCTGCAGGCCGGAATAGGGCACCTGCAATAAACATAAAAGCATCTTACAACTGTGAAGACTCAAGATGGTTGCAGGGCCAGGGTAATACCCGAGTAGTCATAGAAAGCCGTCCGGGTGCCCTGTCCTGCTGTCACCTGTCACCTGTGGTTTGCACCCTGTGCACCACAAGTTTGATAGCAGCCCACACATACTCGGTGGGAGAGAAATCGGGTGAGGCTGACAGCTAAAGAAAGATGTCAGTTCCATTGAGGCTGTTTGAAGTGTGATGTGCGACATTAGGTTGGGCATTGTCCTGCTGGAATAACGTGCCGAGGGTGGCCTGCATAAGTGGCTGGAACACAGGCATAACAACTTGTGTTACACAAGTTACTTGCACAGGTCCAATATTAAAACTGCCTGTAACGCGGACAAGAGCTGTCCGCTGTCCAAACATGTTGCCACCCTAAACCATGAAGCCCGTTTTGGGGCCGATGGAATGATCGACAATATGGATTGCGTAAACAAAATCGGGATTCATCTGAAAACGATTCCCGATGCCATTCGTTTCTCGATTGAGGATAAATTTGACACCAGGCCAGACAGGCAGCTCTGTGTCGGTGGGCGCATCCCTGCCTTATGCAACCTCTTGCGAATGGTTTGGCAGGAGACAGATGCCCTTTTTGATAATGGTAGGTAGGTTTGAATATGACTTACCATGGCGAACAGGTTCTCACGAAACACTCACCGAATTTGCCTACCAATGCGATGATTTGACGTGGATGATCCATTGCCATTTTGATGTGTTCTTGGAGGGTCCTGCGACCGCCACATCTCGCTAAATGTACTTATGTCCCAACCAACAAGACTGGCAACATTGACAAACCGAGCTCATGCAGCTCTAGGATACGTTCCTTAGACGATAACTGCTGGTATTGAGCTCGCTGATGTCTCCGAGGCATTTTCTAACCTTCTTCAATAGTTCCGTTGCAACAATCTGTCACTGATAGCATATAAAGAGCGAGCCAGCTATTGGCTTTTATAGCCAAAAACTGGATATCATATGACCAGATGCGCACGAGAACTTAATTATTTGCATATGTCTTTGACATCTAACGATCCGACTATTTTCACATCGCCACGCGCATGTATGGTGTTGCAATTTCACTTTTGACAAGAGTATTTCCAAAGAAAAACTTCCAAAAACATTATAACTATATATGTTCCACATTAGTACGTTAAACTTATATACATTATATCAGAGTTTTAATAACATATTTATAAGATATAAAAATAGTCATCTGCAAGGCGGTGATATAATAATAGTTAAGAAATTAAAATATAGACAAATTTTATTACTTAAATTTCGTCTAAAAAGCTTTGGTGTAATAATAATCAATTATAAAATTAAAGTATAGACAAATTTTATTGCTTAAATTTCTACATTTCTATCGCAGCTTTGACTTAAAATAGAAATTGCAACACAAATCTAGCCTAAATTTGACGTTACGTAAAGGTACTCTGAATGTAAGAAATAGTTAAGAGAGAGAAATAAAACTAAATCGATGAAAGACCTTTATTTATTTATAACTATTAAGAATAAAATAAGAAACAAGAGATGTACGTTTCCACATTCATAATCCAAATAATTTAAGATGTTTTAAGATGTTATTAAATATTGCTGCCAGTTTCAAGAAGTGATTAAATATTACTGCCGATAATAATGAATAAATGATTAAGTTAATAGCTATTATTTGCAAATAATTGACAATCATTGATTAATTTAAATTATACGCTCTTTTTGCTTTGCATCCAACCTTTGGAAGTTATTAAGGTAAATAATTTTTCTTTATTTAAAGCTATTTTTTTTCTATAAGGAAAATATGTGGCGTATAATGGAATTTTAATATTTATTAGAGGTTTACATATAATGAAAATTTACATATAATGGAATTAGAGAGTCTTAAGATTCGTAAAGAAAGTTTTGTATTTAGTATAAAAGTCAAAACGTACACCTTTCATTTTGAATAGAGAAAGTATATGAAAAAAAGAGATAATAATATGATTAATGAATGAGAAAATGATAAACTATAATTATGAGAAAGTTGAAAAGAAATAAATGAAAGGAGGGAAAAAAAGAAAGAAATTGAGAAGTGAGGAAATAAAAAAATAGATGCGAGAAGACATGCAGTGTTAGATCTCTGTGCACGTGAGACAGGTGTCCCCTTTCTAAAAAAAGTAGTAGATGATGATTCAAAGGGGTTCCACCATTCGTCTCTCGGCACTCACCCGCATTCCTTGAAATCGCGAAAGGGCTCTCAGGGGTCTCAGTGCACGGAGGGTTCGCATAGTCTTGAAGGCTTGTATGTTTCCTCCCCCGACTTCGGAAGCTAATAGATTGATCACAGACACCTACAATGTTAAGTTTATATTTGAACAAGAATCGTGGCAAACTATCAGGGTTGGGTATTTTTAGTTTGTCACTTCTTCATATCTGTAACAGTCGGTTAAACACTGAACGGTGAAACACATTTAAACGTCATATCGCTTAAATTTATACATGATTAAACTTAATGACAAGCATATGATTAAAAACTATTAATTTTTCAGTTTCTGTTTGATTAACAATTTATATTATATAAACAGAACATAAATTTATTCTACTTACATGCCAATGTTACAGGGTCAAAAAAATAAAAGGTTACAACAGTTATTCAGAATATTAAAAAAAAAAAAAAATGCTTTTGATACACTTTGCCTTTCAGTACTCCAACAACTAACAATTTAATAATAAATCTAGTAACATGTAAGACATCAAATCGGATAGTTAAAGCTCTATACGTATTATACATATTGCAATCGCTAATTTCAAATGAAGTTTTTTAAGTAACATTTTTGCTTCCTTGTACGAAGGAAAGGAAGTGTTGTAATCGCGAAACGTTTCGGGTACCATATTTCAACAAAAATATCCATTTTGACCACTCTAGAATCCATTTGAGCGATGTTTTGCGTGACATCTGTACGTACGGAAATAACAAAAGTCTCTTTTTCCCAAAACGGATTGTAAAATGGATTTAAAATGAATTCAGAAGAAATTTTTTTTTCTTGACATACGTACGTACGTATCTCGCATAACTCAAAAGCGACAAGTCTCAGAACGTTGAAATTTTGGCCATGTGTCTGCTATAACATGTAGTTGTGCAACTCCCTTTTTGATTGCAATCGGTTTCATCAAAAGTATATATATACTGCTACCCGGTTCGATGAGCTCAGTTTTTATTCTTATATATTGGTAAATTATGCATGTTTTGCTTTAAAAGTGACTGGATGATATTGTTCTTATGTTCCGGTTAAGTTTTTTATGTCTTTAGTTAAATCTGAATGAAATAGTTGTAGGATTATCAACAATTTAAAAGTTGTTTAAGTGATACTAAGACTAACATTGCCGCATTTGTTTATATTTGAAACTCTTTAGTAGAATAGTGAATTAAGTCAGTTTCTGCACCTTCAGTATCTTTTTTCCGAGAGGGACTAAACGAAAACTCTCAGTTTCGTGCACCGTAAAATCAGTCTTCTCAGCCGGCCGAATTGCTTGTTTTTGCGTAGAAACTCGAATTTTAATTGTAAAAATTCTTTTTTTTTAACTGTTTTAATTGCATTTGATGTTTTATGTTTTTCTGTATTCTACAATTTGTAATGAAGATGTTTTGAGTTTTTCTGTATTTTTGTCTTGTCGCGAAGTGCGAACTGAATTAATAGAACGAGAACTTTAGTGAAATCTGAAATGAAATTGAAGGAAATAATTTTAAATGAAGTGCAGCAAAAAATATGCATAATTTAACAGGCCGTATAAGGAAGTCATGTGATATCCACATTAATATTTTTTACATTTAGCTTTCGATCCTGCAGATGTAAATTAAATTTATAAAATTCTAGGAATGATACATTCGAAACTTAGAATCTTCGCGTTTTCAAAATTTTTTGATATTAACTTAAAAAAATTCTTAAGACTTAGACCTAGCGTTGCAAAGTCTGAATTTTCTACAAATAAGTCAGTGTTCCAGTTTTAAACTTTATCTACATAAACTCATAAAATAATCCCTGAAATTCCGAAAAAATGTAGAAAACGGGAAATGTTACTCAAATTATATTGAGGAAAGTATATTGAGATTCAAGACTTTTTATTAGGTCTTATTATTTACTTAGTTTATTAATTTCCTTCATATCTTTATTGATCAATGTCGATGTACAAATTTAAAAGAAAAACATTTTAAAGAACTGTGTTATTTCATTTATTTCACGTAAAATTTGGATTCCAAAATTTAGTCTAATTGGAAAAAAGATCTTCGCCTTCTTATCAACCACAGATGAAGAGTTCAAATAATTTAGAGATTCGAAATGTTCAAGCCATTTTAAATATTTTTAGAATTCAGTTTCGGATTCGAGAAAATATAGAATTCGTTTCACCTGCAATATTTCTTTCATTATCATAACTAGTAATAGTTATGCAGTGTAAATGTAGTAAATGTAAATAGTTATTATAATTTCTCCTTAATTTTCGTTTAGGGTGTAATAAATAGAAATAACACTTGAGCCGTCGTAAATTGTATATTTGTACCTTCTTCAAAAAACACTAATTAGGATGAAGTTTATGTAATAAAGAATTTTATGCAGAAAAATAGCAAATTTTTGCGAAAGCCCAGCTGCGGTAAGATAGTTTCCCGCAAAATGGGTTTATGGTTGCCAGAAAATGTCAAGGAAAGGCAGGGTTGCCAGATTTGGCGCGGAATTGCCCACTTGGAGATATTTAAAGTCAAAACTGGTGATATGCCATAGACGGAGCGAGAACATTTTAGAACGAATTCTTACCGGTTTTCTCGAGAATCTTCTCTAAGGCAGATCAAAGGTATAAATACCCTGCTTGTGCGTGGAGTCGCAGTTTTATCGTGAAGAGTATCTTGAATGTCTTGAGTTCGGAGATTAGCATGAGAGCTATAGACCGAGTCGGGAGTTGTACTTCAGTGCTTTGCCGTGAAGCTGTCTTCACCGTTATAGCCTGAAGGCTGTGTTGCTTGTTGTTTCAGCGTTTTTATCGTAGTTTTTCGATAATTATGTCTTGGAAATTTTTCTGTGAAATACTGATCAATCAATTTTTTTTTAAATTTTTCATCAATCACTCAAATCAATTGTCATCAATCACTCAAAATCCACGAACCCGTATAGACCCGACATATAGATTAATGCATTTTATTGTAAAACAAAATAAAGTGTTTAAACGAAATACGCACTTCACGTTTAATTGCCAGTTATTTACGAAAATCTTTACTGCTTGTTTTGATTAAACTCTTAATAATCTGGTCAAATATTTTTAATCTTTGAACGCTTAAATGCCTTTCACCGTTGATTCGTGTCCATACTGTAACAATACTTACTGAGGTCATTTTTCTTTATAAAACAGAAGTTAAAAAAAAAAAAAGAAAAAAAAAAAAGAAATGAACACTTTTTATGTGCAAGTAAAAGGTTAAGTACTGTTATTTGATGTATGGAGAGGATAAAGGGTGAGAACAACTTTAGGAATTCTCTCTATTTGGGTAAGATAGGGTTTACTATCTCTAGCAAAGGAGGCTACATTTTCTAAATGTTAGACATAAGGATCAGTTTTGAAATGTCAGTGCATATGAAATCTCTTGAAGTTGCAAATACCATGAAATTTATTTGCAAATGCGATGAAATTAATTTGCAAAGTTCACGATGATTATGGAAAACTATTTATACCGTAAAATATTTTATGACAAAGTCATCGAATGTACACGAATAAGTTTACACATCGAGAAACATATCATGCAATTTCAAGAGACTGTACGAATGCAACAAAAAATAAAAGGTCCATGCGCGCTATACTAAGATATTTGGGGTATAATTTCGTTTCCTAGAACATGAATTTCTAGGGACAAACGATGTCTCTAACTTTTTTTCAATCAATATATCTCCATCTATCCATTCCAAGATGCTGTAATATTTGACATTGACAAGGACAATCACAACAGCAAACAAGGCAACGCCAAACACCGAATTCGTTTCTGATTGAGAGCACAAAATGAATTAATGTTATTTTTCTAAGTTATTTAAAGGAAAGATATGACTAGAATAATTTTTAAAATAATGAAACAGTATAGACTTATGTTAGAAGCTTCACAGAAATCGTATAAACTATACCGAACTATTTAATAAATAATGTTTGATGTTAAAGTATGACAAGAATGAAAAACGAGAAACTATTTCCAATTAATTAATTGTAGAAATTGAATAACTATGTAGAAATGTCTTTTACTTTGTCTTTTATTAAGTATTTAATGTATCTTCTAATAAATGAAAAACCATACATTTTTATGTTTTTATATTGTCTAAAAGACGGCAAGAATAAGTGGATATAAATAATTTGTATGACACATTAGTCACAGCAATCTTATTCTCTTTCTTATTTGAATCTTTTATTTTAATTTACGTAATTGAAACTTTCATTTGATGTTTCTCTCCTTTTGTATTTATTTGAATTTATTAATTTAAGCATTCAAAATATTTTTTAAAGCTTTATTGCATGTATTAAATTATTTTAGTACTTAAACGTTGTGCTATAGTTATTCAAAATTTACTTTGATTTTCTTTCAAGTAACTAAAAATTTTTGGAAAAAGATTGCAGATATATTAAAGCTTTTATATTATTTCTCCAGTATTTTGTTTCAGTAATTCAATACATTACATGTTTAACATATTTAGCTGGCATAAGTAAGAATCTTTATTTTATGTAGTTTGCAATGCTCAAATATTTAAGTAAAATCAAATAGTTTTTACGCACGCAAAATAAGGATACTTTTTACAATAAATTAAAACTTAATAAATTAATAAAAAAATCACAAGTCATATATAATGTTTTAATTGCATATGAGTTGGGGATATTTTACTTAGTTTTAATTAAAGGGTTAAATAAAATTAAATCTATAGTAAGCTCTAAATGTTATTTTACGTACATTCGAAAGTATTGCTTTTCCTTTTAAAACACTTTTTACGTTAATTACTTCAATTTGCGGTCCATATTTTAAATTTACATTCTTTTTAAATTTGAGTTGATTTGTCTTGTTCTCAATAAAGAAATTGAATACCTACAGTTGTTGATTAGTCCGGTCGTGTTTAATGCTTGTTGGTTTATATGCTTAATACCTTGCTCTATACCTCAATGTTCCCTTTAAGTACAGCTCCTTAAATATGAAATTATTAAATACAGAAGTGATGTAATTTATAGTTACGTTTACTTTTAATTTATAATTTTGCTTCCAGCACTTGCAATGTTTAACGTAAATTTGAAAGTTCTTGCAGTCATTACTTTGGAAAACTTGGTTTCTAAATTTTAGAAA